TGCGAATAAGCCAATTTTGGTTCAGTCCTCGATTGGAGTTTAACATTTTTCTTGGGCTTTTAAACATTTTATAAGCTTAGCTAAACATAGTACAATCGACATGCTTCCTTAAATCAAATAGTCAATATTCTCGAAGGCTAGCAAATTACAGTTTCAAAGTACAAAATCAAAGAAAATCAAATTGTCATAATTTATCAGTTGATGCACATGAAAATAATCAATCCCTGCAGCAAATATTCTAACAGCTTTTTGACGAAGATGTAACCAAATTCTGATCCCTCACCCAACCTCCACCCACTCCAACATCGCATACATGGATATATACATATAGCATGTGCACGTATTTGTGTAATTGAATCTATTTAAGGGGTGGCAGAACAAAAATTAGTGGAAATAAGAAAACTGTTTCTGGGCTTAAAATTATGGAGGGCAATAAAGTTTCAGTAATTCCACCATTAATATCTGATTTTGCACCGTTACAAGGAAATTTTATCAATGAAAAGGACTCAAGTGGAAGAAACGAATCTCCTCCAAGTGATAGTATACTTAAAGAACGTGGAAGAAGAGAGAAAACGAGTGAGAAATACTCTGTTCTTCGTTCAATGGTGCCTAGTCTTTCCACCATTTCTAAGGTTAATTTCACTTCTTTGTTGTTTAGTTTCATATTTATGGGGGTGGATTGATTGTATTGTTGTTCAATTAATATGAACAGATATACGATTTGGTTATGGATGAATTTTGAGATTTTACTGATAGTTTATTTCAATTTATATTTGATGTTTTGATTGTTGTTCATGGGTTGTTTTCGATTCAAATCTATCTCTACATTATATTAAATTCTGCCTAATTCCATTCAAGAACGTTTAATTTTCCACAATTCAAGATGTATATCTGTCAAGGACACATATAGGTGCCCAAATCAAGATGTCATATGCGTGTTTATGGAATCGTGTATTATGTTGTTTAATAGAAAGTAATTATGAAACATGTAGTGTAAGAAGATGTTGTTTGTTCTCAGCCAACCCTAGATTTAGTGAGAACGAGGCTTAGTTTCTTATTGAATCGAGGCTTAGTTCATAGTTGAATCAGTTTGTATAATTATTTGGTAGAACTAAAGTTGTGTTCTATCATTCCGTGGTGCTAGTCTTTTTGTTTTATTTCACATATGTTTGTGGCATGTTTCTAACTTCTATGTTGCAAAAAATTATGTATAGATAATTAGGCTCAGAAGCATAATATATGCAGCATACATTATTTGGTTAGGGATGATCGAATTTTGAGATTTTAGTAACAGTTCATTTCAATTTACAGTTGTGATTTTGTATCTTGTTTTTGAGTTGTCTTCAGTTCATCTCTCTCTCTTCCCCCTTTGATATACCATTTCTTGTTTCTGCCTAGTAATTTTCAAGAACATCGAGTTCAGAGAATTTAAGATATCTGATAATAATTGATTTATGTACTAGAAATAAGGAAGGTATATATTGCTAGACACTCTTTTATGGACACATTTGGGTGCCCGAATCCAAGTAAATGTGTGTATCTGAAACTATTTCTATGCAAGTTAACATCCAATATCGTGATGCGTCGGAGCCTGCTCAATAGATTACAAGAACATCGAGTTCAGAGAATTTAAGATATCTGATAATAATTGATTTATGTACTAGAAATAAGGAAGGTATATATTGCTAGATACTCTTTTATGGACACATTTGGGTGCCCGAATCCAAGTAAGTGTGTGTATCTGAAACTATTTCTAGAACTGCAAGTTAACATCCAATATCGTGATGTGTCGGAGCCTGCTCAATAGATTTTTTACAGAAACATGTAGTGTAAACAGATGTAGTCCTCCTTTACAGAATCTCATCCCACCCCAAATTCACTGAGAACAGGACTTAGATTATTGTTCAATTAGTTTATATAATCAGTTGGAGGATTTAATATTGTGTTCTGTTTGCTCTCTGAAAACTTGCAGCCAACTAGAGAGAAGATTTTGTATGATACAGTAAACTACATTAAATGTCTAGAAGAAGAGGTAAAGAGGTTGGAGGGTATAAAGAAACAAGTGCAAGAACAGAAGGTGGGGAAACAAGTTTCATCAAAGTTTACCAACCAGAAGTCTGCCATTGATGTTACCGTCTCCACTGGGGCCACATTCTTTGCAATTCAATTACCTTGCAAACCCGGTATAATTACTGAAATTGTTAAGGTATTTGATAAGCATCATGCAGAAGTTTTGGAGGCAACAATTTCTGTTGACGACCAGCAATTGCTAACCTTCACAGTCACAATAGTTCTTGGGAGAGATGGAGTAAATACAATACAGAAGATAAAGGAAGAAATTATAGCCTTATAGGCAGTTTTCTGATTTATGAACTCAATCACGATTTAGCAATTCGAATGTTTATTGATTCATGGTCCATCTTTTGTTAGGATTGTGTTTAGTTTTTGATTATCATTCATAGAACACATACGGGAAGAGTATTATAGTAGTTGCTCTTTATGTATACCTGATGTTGCAGGAAATATACTTAATGCAACTAAATTTTGTCTGAATTACACCATATATAGAAGATAACAACAGTTCCTCATTTCTTCTAGCTTTTGCAAAATGTAATACATATATAGCACAATTTGATTTGTAGAGGATTTTTGGCTAAACAATGCTCTCAGATTGGACATTATTCCTTCCATACGGTGAAACTGTCCTCTTATATATTCTGGCCAATTATAGGATAGGATACCTTTGGTGAGTACAAGATATAAACTTTAAACCAATCATAAACTGGTTTTCATGGCCTCAGGCAGGGCTAGACATCACTGCTTCTGCTTATACTTGCTGCAAAGCTGCAATAGGTTCTCTGATGTTTCATTCATTGCTATTTCTTCTTCATCTTTCATTTTTTTGCTCAACTCGCGAGCCTTTGATCTGATGCCTTCTCCAGTCGACTTCTCTACAACCACCTTAGTTATTGCTTTTGCTATCTCATCTCTCTTAAATTCTCTATTTTTGTTTCTTGCGACCTCCACACTGACCCCAGCCTCAACCACGAGCCTAGCATTTAGAGGTTGGTCAAGTTTCAAAGGCATGGCTATAACAGGAACGCCAAAATAAATGCTTTCCAATATAGAACTCCATCCACAATGACTCACAAAACCACCAATACTTGGATGTGCCAAAATTTTAGCCTGTGGTACCCATCCCTGTACAATCATACCTCTCTCTTTCACCCTCTCAAGAAATTCCTCTGGCAGCGTTTCTTCTATTCTTATGGTACTCCCAACAGGAAATCTAACAACCCATATAAAATTAACATCACAAAGCTCTAACCCCTGTGCTATTTCTTCAATCTGCTCCTTGGGCAAGTAGTTTTCACTACCAAAGGAAACGTACACAGTTGACAACTGACTTTTCTTGCTTAGCCACTGCATGATCTCTGAATCATCTTCTTCATTTGTAGGTTGTGTAATAAGTGGTCCAACAGGTACTACATTTTTCCGGGACAAAAGAGATAAATAATCGATATATTTCCCCTCAATTGCCCTGCAGCTCTTCATCAAAACAATGTCACAAGATCGTTTGAAGTTTCCAAAAACATAACTTTCATCTGCATCTTTAATATTTGGTGGAAAATTCATCTCTTTCATTTCATATTCCTGTATATATATTGCCTGATAAGGGAAATTTGCATTCCCATATGTGAAGAGATGATGGCCAAAGGAATATGGTGTTGCTCCTGCAGTGGAAAAATGAACTGCAGGAATACCTAGCGAAGAAGCAAGTACTGCAGCCCATGGTTGGAAGACATCATAGAATAGCAAGTCAGGCTTTAGAGTATTGATAATGTCTGAGAAGCAGGAGCTTGACATTTGAAAGGCCTCCAGGAGCTTTGGCTTAAGCTCAGGTGGCACATTTTTGGTTGTGTGGTAATGAGGAGGCAGATCAGGCCATGATGGTAAATGGAGTTCGATGAGTTCTATCGAGGTATCCCAGAAGTTCTTTTCAATGGTTTCACTGATTGAACTCAAATTGATTGCTGTAGAACAAAAGTATATGTGGAATTTTTTTTGGGATAGTTTCCTAGCTAGCTCAAGATAAGGGAATACGTGGCCGTGAGCCAACCATGGGAACAATAGAATTCTTAGCCTAGTTCGATCTGTTTCCATAAGTCGAAATCTCAAGAATTCAGATAATATGATGTTATGATGCACAGGTAGGTGTATATGATGAAGTTTCTCCATCGAGATTCATTATTAATTGAAAGGGATGGGAAAGTCAAGAAAGACATTTTAAGTTCCGCCATGTTTGTATTTTCATTTTTGTGACCTTCGATGACGCCACCAGATTTTCTTGTTGGATATTAACTTTTGTGGTTTGATGGGTTCAACGTCTGTTTTAGAATAAACAAAATCTTATCCTCAATTGAACATCACCATCACTTGCAACATTAAAACAGGGGGAAAAAAAAATGTAAAAACCCAAAATTTTGCAGAGTTTGATATATAGCATATATGGCAACTTAAGTAGCTTTTATTAACACATTTTTAGAAAGTTCAGGGATATAAATGTAAATTAGTAAGATAATTCTATTGGTGAAGAAAATATTTTCAGAGTGAAAATACTAATATTCAGAAATTAAAGTGTAAATTAATGAAACTTTTAAGAGTCATAATTTTAAGTTTCGAGAGTGTTGTAGTAATGTCTCGTAACAAGAGTAGTAGATTTTATGACCTTAAATCCAGTATCGAGCCCTAAATGCAAAGGTAAAAAGTACAGGGACTAGATTGCAAGTGGTGAAAAATATAATTTCAAAGAGAATGTGATAAGTCGAGATTATTTAGTGACGAGAGGGATCACCAAATGGTGATTTGGACATTTTTTTATACTTTGCAGCCTGTTTGGGAGGGATTTTTTATTTCAAAAAATTGATTTTTTGACCGTTGTTTCACTATTCCAGCCGTACTTCTTCTCTCATGGGTGGACCCCATTTTTCTTCTTACAGTCAAAAAATCCTTGATATGTGTAGTGACTAAAGTGAAAAAAAAACAAAAAATAAAAATAAAAATAAAAATCGATGTCAATAATTTATAGGGGCTAAATGTGTACTTTTAAAGGAGAAAGAATTATTCTATAATATTAGATAATGCTAAGGACTCGAGGAATAATTAATTTGGATAAAACCTAAGTTTGAGTTATAGCTCATTAAAATAAACTACATGGAGAGTAATATTAGTTTTCAAATTAGAACAAATTACCATAGGGTTAATTTCACAAACGGTCATTGAACTTATAAAAGAATTACAAAACGGTCACTGAAGTTTAAAACTTTTAGTAACGGTCACTTAAGTATTGGGACGCTTTCAAAAACAGTCATTGAAGTTTAAAAAGTTTCTGAAACGGCCACTGAAATTGAAAATTTTGTTTTTTTTGCGACAATTTTTCGGCTGCTTTCAACCACTGATACCATCGAATTTTGATACCGTTGGAAAGCCCACAACGTCCTCTTCAATTACCACTCAAAATCTTCAATTACCACTCAAAATCTCTCCATAACACCAAGGAATTCAACCGAAAAATCACCACAAAAGTCATCCCAAGATATCTAAAAATCTGCCCAGATTTTTAGATTTTTGGGCTACTTTTACGGCAATTTTTCATCTACTTTCGACCATCAAGATTATCAGATCTTGATACCGTTGGAAAGCCGACAATATCCTCTTCAATTACCATCCAAAATCTCCCCCAAACTCCAAAGGATTCGGCCGGAATAAGCTCGCAAAATCGGCATCCCAAAAAGGCAAAAATCTGGGATGCCAACTTTATGGGTTTATTCTGGCCGAATCCTTTGGAGTTTTTGGGAGATTTTGGATGCTAATTAAAGAGAATATTGTGATCTTTCCAAAGGTAT